TGGAGCCACATGTGAAAGCTCAGAGTGAGCCCCAGGGGCATTTCCATGGTGTTAATAGTCAATGTTCAGGCAACTGAACTCTGTCCCAGATGCCTTTATGCTTCCTGACATGGTTCATCCAATCTGATCCACCTACCCATGCTCATGTGAATGTTTCACTGGGATAATGGTCTAGGACGATGGAATTATGTCTGTGTGGTGCAGTCATCATTGTGAAGAAATAACTGGGACAGCTCAGGACCAGACACACGTTACTTCATGACTTCTGGTTACCCAAAGCAGTGGTAAATGCTCCATCCCTGGCAGTGTTCAAGGGCAGGTTGGACACAGGGGCTTGGAGCAAGCCGCTCTAGCGAAAGGTGACCCTGCCTGTGGCAGGGGGTTGGGACTGGATGATCTGAAGGGACTATATGGTATCTAAAGATGAGAATTGCTAACTAATTGTTAGGTTAACAAGGCTGTCATATGAATATCATCTTTAATGTTCATGTCAATAGAGGCCAGGTTTTGAATCATCTCCAGAAAAACCAATATTCTTCTCCAAAACATTTAGGCTGATCTAACAGCACCTGAAGCACAGGACAAAGGGACCCATGTCCAGCTCTTCCTACCAAAAAGGTGCTTGCTATTTGAGGTATCAGAACTTTTCATGGATAGGACCCCCGTCATGTATTTGATGTGGGAAGCTTGTTTCTAGAGCCAGGGGTGGCTGCATTTTATAGATCCCTTCTCTGCAAAGAATGAAACAGAATTCGTACAATGATGCTCTCAGTATGAAATGTATTTCCAAAACCTCAAGCCTGTTTCTTGTGTTGCTGGAATTCACCATGCTGCCTCCCCGGCATGTTAAACTGAGGTTTCTATTGCCAGATCACTGAGCAGTTTCCTCCACACAAGACTATGGCAATCTAGAGCTCTGTTAGTGAAGTAGCATCCAGTCTGGGTAAATGTTTGAACATTTCAGTTGTCTCTGAAATGGAAACTTTCTTAAACACAAGAGGAAATAAGGACACCAGAGTGGGCTAATTCATCAAGCAGCGATGAGCCCTACACAGGACACTGCTCATCTAGACTCCTGTTTTCACAGAAGCTCAGACCAGATGATCTTTTGAGGCCCAGCCTGGGCTTTCTGTGGCTCTATGATTCTATATGTATAGTGTAAGCCAAAATATCCAACAAAATGGAAGAAGACAAGATATGGTGAAGATTTTGAAGGAAGCCGTCTGATATCCAAGGTGCCAAGCCCTTTAGCATTTAATGATACAGATTCTGGCTCCTTCATTGACTGCAGGTCAAAGCCACGTTGCCCCCACACCTATGACAGTGTATGCTTTCATACTGTTGTTTTTCTGAGCACATAAAAGTTCTGTTCACCATCCATATACTTTCCCAATATAAGTTAATTGCCACTCACAGCAGGTAAGGGAAAGATACTTTCCCCCATCAGTGTGTTTTGGCTTTATTGAGACCCAGACAGCTCTCACTTACCATCAATTCTTTGTTCTTTCATTTATGGAAGCTTGCCACAAAGTTAATTCTAATGTGAAATAGACAGTTTGGTTTTTGCGGTGTGCTTGAGCATGAGCAGGGCATGGACATGGGTTATGGGTGCTTATCTCCAAGTGGAATTCCATTTCTCTCACCATTTAGGTAAAAGGTTATTTCAGATGAATGTAAAACACCACTTAAAATGAATGGGAGGAGATCTTGATGTGCCCGAAATGTCCCTAACACTGGGTGGTCTCAGCACAGTTCATCATCCTCTATTATGAATTATATTGTCTATAACTTTTTCCTTTAAATGAAATCTCCTATGAAGCTGCAGCCTGGGGAGGGATTCCCTTTAACATTCAAAGGCGCAGCTTGAATCTTTATTCCCACCAGCTTCTGTTCCTTGAAAGGCACAAACAAAAGCAATGAATCTTTTGAAACCTTTTCTCTGACTCTTTTTTAACAAGCAAATGTAAAACTACACTTCCTCTTCCCTCCCATCCCAGCAGCTTTAATGAAGAGCTCACAGGTAAGAGGGAGGAATTTTATTGGAGCTGAGGGACAAGGTCAAGAATCTTGCAAGAAAAATAGATCTTTATCAGTGACAAAAGCTATAACTGAATAAAGCTGATTGGTGTTTTCTGTGAGGAAAAGAGGCCTGGGATAATTGAGGGTAATTTCTTCCTACAGGCTGCTAACTATGAAGTGAAATGAAGTATGAGGTTCCTCTCCTTTTGGTTTCCTTGTGGATCATTCAAAGGTTTTGTTTTGACATTGGCAATGGAATCAAAAATGGGTTTAGAGACATTTCAGATCTTGTAGAGTGTCCCCAAATGGGACATAAAGCACAAGTGACTCCATCTCTGGAGCTGCTGATGTCCATCTGTAGACACTTGAGAGCCCAGTTTTCCATTCCCAGTGGAGTTATCCACATGCCGTGCCTGGATGTCGAACAGCTGAGCTGGTGCCTCTGGGCTTACACTATATTCAAGGGTGAGAAATGGGTATTTTCACACAGTGATGAATTGTCCCAGCTTTAACTAATAGGCTTTTATCCCCCTGAGCAGCCTCAGCTGGGGTTCCATCCCCACCCTTTGCCTATTTGTCCCCCATCTCTATCAAAGCTCAGGAAGACTGAGGTTTTTTAGATGAGTTTTGTTTTGAACTTTAGCAGGAGTTCTGCACACCTTTGCAATTCTTTGATGGTGATTTTGGCTTTCTCATTTATCTTCCTAGCATTTTTTGGACCTGTTCCTGAACAAGGGATTGACTTGACCTCACTAGGCTTGGTCCTGGATCTGCCTCATAATCACCTGCTTGCCTGATGCACTCTAATCTTGGCTGAACTTAACCCAAGTCACCCAAGTCTTCTTTTGCTGCCCTACTTCTCTTGCTCAGGTACTGTGGGATGGTCCCTGCACACTGTGGTGCTCTTCTTTGGCTCTGTTGATAGAGATTCAAAAGTCAAACCCCTGTGGCAGTCCCCAGGCTCCTGCAGAGCAGAACCCATCACCCTCTGCACCCCAACAGCCCAGCCAGTGCTCACTGCTCTGGCAGTCCCTCTCCATCCAGAGCATGTCCCTACATGGGAAATTAGGAGACAGTCTTTTCAGTGAGGTGAGTAGAGTAATAAATTGAACCTTATTTTCAATTGTTATTATCTTTTCCTTAGTGCTTTCTCGTTTACCAAGTACAGCATTAGACTTTCATTCTTCAGCAGATTGGCAACACTTTGGTTTGGATGTAGCTTTGGCATGATGTTCATCTGCTGGTTTTGTGACAGAGAACACCAGAGTTTCAGTGATACCAAGGACTTTGGCTTCCCCAGCCTCTTTCTTAGGCTTCCAGGCTTGCTTTGGAACCATTTCTAAGTCTTGCTTTCTCACTGTGACTGGTTTGTGCAACAAGACCACAGATAATCTGATTTATCTACACTCTTTTATTGACCTTACTGGGTTGTTTTTTTTTCTCCTGTGTGTAGGTCTTTTCCCATCTACACTTGACATTTCCACCAGGCTCCTTGCTAGCCCTGTCAAAAATATCTTCCAAAGCTGTCAGCATCTCCAGGTGATAGCTTCAAACCTACATTATGACCTCATCTTATTTTCAGGGGCTTCTTCTTTTTTCTAGTGAAGTACAGGAATTGTAATGGTATTATTTAATGAAGTAGATTATTTTAAGATGAAAGATGCATTTCTCTCATTGATGTTAGGCCCTGCTTTGTAATTTCTGTCAGCTCTCTTATCTAACTGATAAAGCAAGATAACTTATCCAAAGAGTCTATATATTTTATGGATATATAGGTTCTATATATGTAAGAAGACAGTCTTAAATGCTCAGGTCTATATGGGCCACATACCTAATAGCAAAGGTCTCTGTGCTACCAAGCTCTTTAGCAATTAATGGCATTGATTCTGGCTCACTCGTTCACAAATATTGAAGCCACTTTCCCCAGACCTAAGACAACATCTCCCATCTAGATGCTGTTTGACAGAGCACACACTGTTCACCACCCACATACTTGATAAATATAAGTTGATTTCCACTCAAAACAGGTAAGAGAAAGAGATTTTCCCACACCGGTGTGTTTTGGCTTCTTTGAGAGGCAGGCAGCTCTCAGTTACCATTGATTCTGTGTTCAGTTTACTCTTTCATCTAGGGAAACTAGCCACATTCCTAACTTCTATAAGAAATCCACAGTTTGGTTTCCTGTTGTGCTTAAGCATGGTCTTGGCATGGACATGGGATGTGGGTGATTATCACCAGCTGGAATTCCATTTATATCTAAGTAAATGGCACTTCAGATGAATGTAAAACACCATTTAAAATGAATGGGAGGAGCCCTTGATGTGCCCAAATTATCCTTAACACTGGGTGGTCTCAGCACAGTTCATCATCCTGTATTACAAATTATGTTATCTACATTGTCTTCCTTTAAGTGAAATTGCTCGTGAAGCTGCAAACAGGAGAGGGATTCCCCTTGACATTCAAAGGTGCAGCTTGAGACCTTGATCCTTACCTGCTTCTTCTCTTTGAAAGGCACAAACAAATGCAATGAATCTTTTTAGGCCTTTTCCCTTACTTTTTTCAGCAAGCAAATGTAAAACTACACTTCCTCTTCCCTCCCACCCCAGCAGCTTTAATAAAGAGCTCACAGGTAAGAGTAAGGAATTTTATGGGAGCTGAGGAACCAGGGCAAGAATCTTGCAAGAAAAAGACATCTTTATCAGTGACAAAAGCTATAACTGGGTAAAGCTGATTGGTGTTTCCTGTGAGGAAAAGAGGCCTGGGATAATTGAGGGTGATTTCTTCCCACAGGCTGGTGACTGAGAAGTGAATTGAAATTTGAGGCTTAGTCTCCTCTTGATTTTCTTCCAAGAACGGTGTGATTTTGGGGGTCTGTTTCTCATTCAATACTGTCATTGACTTTTGTGCAGGAACTGCGGAAAAATCTACATCAAATCATGGGGAGTATTGGAAAAAAATGTTTTAGTGTACCATAGGCTTTCTCAGTTGACATGAACTGTGCCTGTGCTAGATGATCGAACTTTCTTATGTTGCCAATGGTTGAAGAGCCTGCTCCTGCACTTCACCAGAGCCCCCTTCACCTCCTTGTTCCTCAGGCTGTAGATGAATGGGTTAAGCATGGGGGTGATGATGGTATAGATGATGGAGGCCACCTTATCCAGGCTCCTGTGGGTAGAAGGAGGTTGTAGGTACATGAAGAATCCTGTCCCAAAATACATAGAAACAGCCACCAAATGGGAGGCACAGGTGTGGAAGGCTCTGGCCCTGCTCTGTGCTGAGCACATCCTCAGCACAGTGCAGATGATAGAGATGTAGGAGAGAAAAATGACCACACTTGCACACACCGCATTGATGGTGACGAAGGCAAAGATGACCATCTCACTGCTGTGGGTGTCAGAGCACACGAGCTTCAGCACAGGAACTTCGTCGCAGAAGAAGTGGTCAATGTGGTTGGGACCACAGAAGGAACCTCCAAACAGGCACCATGTGTAGATGATGGCACTGAGGAAGGCGAATAGGTAGGATGATGCTATCAGTTGCCAGCAGATGCGGCTGGAGATGATGGTCACATAAAGCAGGGGCTGGCAGATAGCAATGTGCCGGTCGTAGGCCATCATGGCCAGGAGATGACACTCAATAGTACTAAAAAAAGCAAAGGTGAGGAACTGCATCATGCAGCCAGTGAAAGAAATGGTTTTGTCCTCTGATAACAGGTCTGCCAGCATCCTGGGGGAGATGACTGTGGAATAGCAGATGTCAGTGAAGGCAAAATGGGTGAGGAAGAAGTACATGGGGGTGTGGAGGCTGGGAGACACCCAAACCAAGATGATAATCCCAACATTCCCCACCTGAGTGACAATGTAAATCAATAGAAACAAGACAAAAAGAGGAGTCTGCAGACATGGGCTGTCTGTAATTCCCAAGAGAATGAATTCAATCTGGGTGTGATTTCCTCCCATGACCAGGTGGTCCCTGCTGAGGCAAAAGGAAGAGAAACATCAAACTGATCAAAAATGGAGATTCAGATCTGGACCACATCTATCTCCAATCAATGACCACTATACCTGCCACACATTAGATTATTCTAATATATTTTCTAACCAAAATTATATGCATATATTATGTTTTTCAGATGAGGTAATCAGAAAAGAACAGGTAGTTCATTGAAGCAGTAAATGGCATTTTTATTTTTCTATGCTGGTACAATTAACACTGGCTTTAGACAAGCAGGTGTGTTTTCAGGTTTCAGCAAAGAATCAGATCTTTATTCACTTTCAGTTTGAAAGAAATTTGTGTCAGAAGACACCTCAGAGGATCCTCATAGGATTGCACGTAAACGTGAAGCAAGAGAGTTTCTCAGTCTCAGTGAAAGCCCAGCTTACACATGCATGACTTCCAGACACTTTTCTTTGGCTTTTGATTGTCATTCCAGTCACCAAATCACATTTAACAAACTATTTGAGATCATTAACAACAAATAACATTGACTTTGTTAAACTCATGATTTATACCTTCCTGAGCTCCAGCATAATAAAGCATCCTAAACCTATGGGCATTCAGTTTCTTGCTTTAAAAAACAGTTGCTGTTATAACAAGCTGATTCTAAAGGCTGATTTGTTAGTGACTATATTCTGCTGACAGTCTGAACTGTTGCATTTCTGTATAACAGAATAAGATTCATCCTCATTTAACTCTTGAATAAATCAATGTATCTGGCTTAAGCTGCCTTTGCAAAAGAAACACAACCTGCATCAGACGTTGCTCCATATTATTATAAAGAAAACCCACATTGGTAAGGTTGCTTTCTGACACAGCTTTACCACAGATTACACGAGGACATGCTGAAGCAAGCCCACTGCCTAAGTGCAGGTGAGGCTCTGCTTTGTGCTGGTGTTACCTCCTGTGACTTCCTTCTGCCACCGAGTGATGGGTGCCAAGGATTTATCCCCAACGCAGCAGAGAACATCTATGTGCCAGCATCAGCTCTGTTGCACCTGATGTGAAGAGAGGGGAGCTCCTGCCAGACTCCAAGAGCCCAGCTCGTGGTGCTGGGGCTGTAAATACAGTTGCATGTGCTCTGCTGGGAGGAAGCCTCCAGGGCTGCTCATGCTTTCCCAAAGGAAAACAAAGAGAAGGAAAAACAAAGGGTGTGAAATCAGCTCTGAAAGGCATTGTGGTGCTTGAGCATCTGAGAGTCATGGAGTGGGTGAGCCATGCCTGAGCACAGCTGCACAGCAGCAGTAATGAGTAGCTCATAGGATGCTTCCTACATACTTGTGGACCATGCAAATGTTTTGGTCTGAACATATTGACACAATGAAAATGGGTTTAGAGACATTCCAGATCTTGCACACGGTCCTCAAATGGGACATGAAGAAGTAACTCCACCTCTGAAGCTGCTGATGTCCCTCTGTGGAGGGACAGTTTTCCAGCCCAAATGGGGTTACCCACATGTAGTGCCTGGATGTCCAACAGCTGAGCTGGTGCCTCTGGACTTCCACTGTATTCAAGGGTGAAAAACAGGCATTTTGAGGCAGAGAGGATTTGTCCCAGAATTAACTAATAGGCCTTTATCCCCCTGAGCAGCCTCAGCTGGGGCTCCATCCCCACTCTCTTCCTGTTGTTTCCCCAATCTCTATTTAAACTCAGAACAGGCAGATTGAGCTTTACTAGAGCAGTTCTGGTTTCCAGTTTAGTAGGAGTTCAGCACACCTATGCAATCTTTTGGTGGTCACCTAGGATTTCTCATATATCTTCCTCGCAATTTTTTCACCTGATCCTGAACAAGGGATTGACTCAACCTGACTTGGCTTGGTCTTGAATCTGCCTCCTCATCACCAGCTTTCCTGATGCTATGGAGCCTTGGTTGAACTTGGTCCATGTGTCTGTTCCTGCCCTGCTTCTATTTTTCAGGTACCGTGGGATTGTCCCTGCACACCAGGGTGTTCTCCTTTGGTTCTGTTTAGACAGATAAAGGAGAAAAACCCCTGTGGCAGTCCCCAGGCTCCTGCAGAGTAGAACCCATCACCCTCTGCACCTGACAGCCCAGCCAGTGCTCACTGCTCTGGCAGTCATTTTCCATCCAGAGCATGTCCCTACAGGAGCAAATTAGGAGGTAGTTTTTCAGTGATGAAAAGTAGAGTCTCCACACAGCCTTCTCTTCTCCAGGCTGAACAGCCCCAACTTCCTCAGCCTGTCTTCATACGGGAGGTGCTCCAGTCCCCTGATCATCCTCGTGGCCCTTCTCTGGACTTGTTCCAACAGTTCCATGTCCTTTTTATGTTGAGGACACCAGAACTGCACACAGTGCTCCAGGTGAGGTCTCACCAGAGCAGAGTAGAGGGGCAGGATCACCTCCTTCGACCTGCTGGTCACGCTCCTTCTGATGCAGCCCAGGATACTGTTGGCTTTCTGGGCTACAAGCACACACTGAAGCTGGTTCATGTTCATTTTCTCATCAGCCAACACCCCCAAGTCCTTCTCTGCAGGGCTGCTCTGAATATCTTCTCTGCCCAACCTGCAGCTGTGCCTGGGATTGCTCCCACCCAAGTGTAAGACCTTGCACTTGGCATGGTTAAACCTCATGAGGTTGCCATCAGCCCACCTCACAAGCGTGTCGAGGTCCCTCTGGATGGCATTCCTTCCCTCCAGGGTATCAACCCAACCACACAGCTTGGTGTCATCGGCCACCAAATTGGTCAGGCAGGATTTCCCCTCAGTGAAGCCATGCTGGCTGTCACCAAGCACCTTGTTGATTTTCATGTGCCTTAGCATGCCTTCCAGGAGAATCTGCTCCAAGATTTTGCCTGGCACAGAGGTGAGACTGACTGCTCTGTAATTCCCCGGGTCATCCATTTTCCCCTTCTTGAAAATGGGGGTTATATTTCCCTTTTTCCAGTCATCGGGAACTTCCCCTGACTGCCATTATTTCTCAAATATGATGGCCAGCGGCTTCGCAACTTCACTCGCCAGCTCCTTCAGGACCCACGGATGGATCTCATCAGGACCCATGGACTTGTGCATGTTCAGATTTTTAAGATGGTCTTGAACCAGATCCTCTCCTACAGTGGGCGCAAGGTCTTCATTCTCACAGTCCCTGCATCTGCCTTCCAAGACTTGGGTGGTACAGTCAGAGCCTTTGCCAGTGAAGAGTGAGGCAAAGAAGTCATTGGGAACCTCAGCCTTCTCCAAATCCTGTGTAGCCAGTTCTCCCGAGAGCTTCCTGAGGGAGCCTACATTCTCCCTTGTCTGTTTTTTATTTGCTATGTACCTGTAGAATCCCTTCCTGTTATCTTTAAACATCTTTAAACTTACCCCTAGCTAAGTTTAATTCTAACTGGGCTTTAGCTTTCCTAACCTGGTCCCTAGCTTTTCGAACAATATCCCTGTACTCTTCCCATGCCACCTGTCCTTGCTTCCACTTATTATAAACCTCTTTTTTCAATTGAATTTTCCTCAGGAGCTCCTTATCCATCCAAGGAGGTCTCCTGACCCTCCTGCAGCACTTCCTTCTGGTTGGGATGCAACACTTCTGAGCTTCCAGCAAGTGATCCTTGAATATCAACCAACAGTCTTGGGCCCCTCTGCCCTCTAGGGCTGGATGCCATGGAACCTTCCTAAGCAGGTTCCTGAAGAGGCCAAAGTCTGCTCTTTTGAAGCCCAGGGCAGTGAGCTTGCTGCACGCTCTTCTCACTGTCCTGAGGATCTCAAATTCAAGCATCTCATGATCGCTGCATCCAAGGCTGCCCTGGAGCGTCACATTTCCAATGAGCCCTTCCCTTTTGGTGAGCACGAGGTCAAGCACGGCACCTCTCGTTGTCGGCTCCCCTATTTCTTGCAGAAGGAAGTTGTCTTCTACACAATCGAGGAACCTCCTGGATTGCTTGTGCCGGGCTGTACCGTCCTCCCAACGGATGTCAGGGTGGTTGAAGTCACCCATGAGAACAAGGGCCTGTGAGCGTGAGGCTTTTCCTATCTCTCTATGGAGTGCTTCATCCACAGGTTCTCCTTGATCAGGCGGTCTGTAACAGATCCCCACAGTAATGTCTCCCAGAGCTATATTCCCTTTAACCCTGACCCACAAACTCTCTGTGGACTGCTCACCTGTCCCCAGACACAGTTCCATACTCTCCAGCCTATCCCTAACACAAAGGGAAACTCCCCCTCCCGCCTGCCAGGCCCGTCCTTCCTAAAGAGCCTGTAACCTTCTATCGCAACACTCCAGTCATAGGAGCCATCCCACCATGTTTCTGTGATGCCTATTATATCATTCCCCCATAGATGTGCACACATCTCTAATTCCTCTTGTTTGTTCCCCATGCTACGGGTGTTTGTATAGAGGCATCTGAGCCGAGCTCCAACTGAAGCCGGCTCATTGGCTGGAGCGGCTGGGATATCTCTACATTGCTCCAGGCATTTATTATAGGTTCTGGCAACTGACTGGGTGTGTTGGAATGGAATGATGCTCCCCTCCCCCAACACATCTAGTTTAAAGCCTTTTAATACCTGAGCTGGAGGAGATAACAGAAGTTAAGTGCACTGACTCTCTGTTAGACTCATCTGCCACACTGAGGGGAATAGTTCTCTCTGTGCTGGAACCTGACCAAAACTTCTAGTAGTGATAGGACAAAGGGGAATGGGTTAAAACTTAAATAGGGGAAGTTTAGGTTGATCTAAGGAAGAAGTTCTTTACTGTAAGGGTGGTGAGGCACTGGAATGGGTTGCCCAGGGAGGTTGTGAATGCTCCATCCCTGGCAGTGTTCAAGGCCAGGCTGGACAGAGCCTTGGGTGACATGGTTTAGTGTCAACCCATGGCAGGGGGGTTGGAACTGGATGATCTTAAGGTCCTTTCCAACCTTAACTGTTCTACGATTCTACTGACAGCAGTGTGCCAGCTCAGCCTATTTTGGCTGCCTAGGACAGGACTCTCTGCCCCAGGCTGCCAGGGAAACC